CCCTGGGTAGAGTGCCCTGGTGTCACAGCTCATAGTAACCTCAAACTCTTGGGCTTTAGCAATTCTCTTGCCTCAGCCCCCCAAGTAGCTGGGATTACAAATGCCCATCAGAATACCTGGCTATTTTTTGGTTGTAGTTGTTTGGCAGGCAAGGACTGGATTCGAATCCGCTAGCTCTGGTGTATGTGGCTGGTGCCCTAGCCACTGAGCTACAGGCGCTGAGCCAAATTTTATTTTTTGAGGCAAGAGTTTTACTATGTTGCCCTCAGTAGAGGGCCATGGCGTCACAGCTCACGGCAACCTCAAACTCTTGGGCTTAAGCGGTTCTCTTGCCTCAGCTTCCCAAGTAGCTGAGACTACAGGCGTTTGCCACAACACCCTGCTATTTTCTTATTGCAGTTGTCATTGTCATTTGGCAGGCCTGGGCTAGATTTGAACCTGCCAGCTCTGGTGTATGTGGCTGGTGCCCTAGCTGCTGAGCTACAGGCACCGAGCCCAACTTTCTTTTTTTTTGGAGATAGAGTCTAACTCTGTCACCCTGGATAGGGCATCATAGCCCACAGCAACCTGAAAGTCGTGGGCTCAAGTGATCCTCTTGCCTCAATCTCCGCAGTAGCTAGGATTATAGGTGTGCACAACTAGCCCAGCTAATTTTTTTCTATTTCTGGTAGAGATGGGACTCTCATTCTTGCTTGGGCTGGTCTTGAACTCCTGAGCTCAAGCAATCCACCCACCTTGGCCTCCCAGAGTGCTAGGATTATAGGTGTGAGCCAACATGCCTGGCAAGTTAAAATATCTTGAACTTTTTTTTTCTACACCAACAAGGTTCCAAGTTTTCCTTGAAAACAGGGATCTAAAATTTATTTATATATAGCAGAGCCCCAAAAGAGTTTTTCACGAAGAAAATGAAAACCTAAGAGTACATTAGGAATCTTAAAGGGAAATTCTCCTCACCCAGGGAGACCAGGTTTCTGTAGTTCTCTAACATCACATCCCTATACAAATTCCATTGAGCAGGATCCAGGCGTGCCCACTCTTCCATAGAGAATTCTATGGCCACATCTCTGAATGTTAGCATTCCCTGGAAAAAAACAGATATTATCCAGTAGTCATGGGTAGTATTCTTAATTTGACTAAATGTTAAATGAGAGTGAAGAGAACTGCCTCTGACACATATGACTGACTGCAAGTATCCAATAATTAATACACTAATTCTCTCTAATGTATTCTCTAACTCTGAGAATAAAGGACAGTAAAAAGATCCACAAAGCAAGTATAGATACTATTCTGATTAATAAAATATAAAAAAATTTTTTTTTTGGAGACAGAGCCTCAAGCTGTCCCCCTGGGTAGAGGGCCCTGGCATCACAGCTCACAGGAACCCCAACTCCTGGGCTCAAGCGAGTCTCTTGCCTCCGCCTCCCAAGTAGCTGGGACCACAAGCACCTGCCACAATGCCTGGCTATTTTTTGGTTGCAGCCATCATTGTTGTTTGGTGGGCCCAGGCTGGATTCGAACCCGCCACCTTAGGTATACGTGGCTTGCGCCTTAGCCACTTGAGCCACAAGCACGGAGCCAATAAAATATAAAATTAAGGGCATTAAAAGTCATACACTTTGAGTTCTTTTTTTTGTAATAGAGACAGAGTCTCACTTTGTCGCCCTCAGTACAGTGCCATGGCATCACAGCTCACACCAACCTCCAACTCCTGGGCTTAGGCGATTCTCTTGTGTCAGCCTCCCACATAGCTGGGACTACAGTCGCCTGCCACAATGCCTGGCTAACATTTTGAGTTCTTACATATATACATCATATACAATATAAGCTGGTTTCTTTTTTTTTTGAGACAGAGCCTCAAGCTGTTGCCCTAGACAGAGTGCCATGGCATCACAGATCACAGCAACCTCCCTCCAACTCCTAGCTTAAGGGATTCTCCAAAGCAGCTAGGACTTAGGCGCCCACCATAACGCCTGGCTATTTTTTGGTTGCAGTTGTCATTGTTATTTGGCAGGCCCAGGTCGGGTTTGAACCCACCAGCTCTGGTGTATGTAGCTGGAGCCTTAGCCGCTTGAGCTACAGGAGCTGAGCATATAAGCTGGTTTCTTATACAGAAACATCACAGTGAGTTAGAAGGGCAGTCTTAAAAAAAAAAAGAAGGGCAGTCCTAAAAGTGTTTTTTTTTTTTTCTAGAGACAGAGTCTCACTTTGTCACCCTTGGTAGAGTGCTGTGGCATCATAGCTCACAGCAACCTCAAACTCTTGTGGTCAGGTGATCTTCTTGCCCCAGCCTCCCAAGGAGCTGGGACTATAGGCGCCGACCACAATGCCCAGCTATTTTTAGAGATAGGGTCTCACTCTTGCTCAGGCTGGTCCTGAACTCCTGAGCTCAAGCAATCTACCCACCTCAGTCTCCCCAAGTGCTAGGAGTACAGGTGTGAGCCACAGTGCCTGGCCCTAACAGTACTAAAATTTTTAATGTGTGCTACAGTGAAGTGGAGAGCTTATTAAAATGCAGATTCTGATTCAGGAGATCTGGAGTAGAACTTGAGTTCCTGCATTTCTATCTTCTCAGCAATGCCAATACTTCTGGCCCAAAAATATTTGTCAAACATACTGTATGTGGTAAAACCTGAGTCCTATCCTGATTCATCTGACCAGCAAACAAAAATGAAAACCTTAATTTCTCAAAGCAATAAGCAAGGAGAAACTAAGGGGAGGTTCCAGATTAAATGTGATGATTTATGTACATCAAACAGTAGAACTCTCTAAGATGCTTAGTAATGATTTGTCAAATAGCACCTTAACCAAGTGAATGAATATCAACTGTAGGAAGACAAACTGGTATGAGGTGCTAACGCATACAGGATATATCGCTGCTGTGAGATTACTGGCCAAAGAAAGCAAATCATAATTTTTTTTTTTTGAGACAGAGCCTCAAGCTGTCAACCCTGGGTAGAATGCCGTGGCATTATAGCTCACAGCAACCAATTCTGGGCTCAAGTGATGCTCTTACCTCCACTTCCCAAGTAGCTGGGACTACAGGCGCCCGCCACAATGCCCGGCTATTTTTTGGTTGCAGCTGTCATTGTTTGGCGGCCGGGGCTGGGTTTTTTTTTTTTTTTTTGAGACAGAGCCTCAAGCTGTTGCCCTGGGTAGAGTGCTATGGCATCACAGCTCACAGCAACCTCCAACTCCTGGGCTCAAGCGAGTCTCCTGCCTCCGCCTCCCAAGTAGCTGGGACTACAGGTGCCCGCCACAGCGCCTGGCCATTTTTTGGTTGCAACCATCACTGTTGTTTGGTAGGCCCAGGCTGGATTAGAACTCACCAGTTCAGGTGTATGTGGCTGGCGCTTTAGCCACTTAAGCCACAGGCGCCGAGTTCCGGGGCTGGATTTGAACCCACCAGCTCAGGTGTATGTGGCTGGTGAGCCTCTTGAGCCACAGGTGCTGAGCCACAAATCATAATTTAAATACATCAGTTTTATGCAAAGTTCAAACTACATGTATTTTTCATGTTCTGTAATCTCTAGTTGAGTATTAGCATAGTTTTTCTTTATCATTCTAGAGAGCATATCTCTTCCAGTCAATCTATTTTTCAGAATTTTCTGCTTTACCTAGGGCAATTAATGTCATTCTCTTTAAATGTGCATTTTTGGCCAGGTGTGGTGGCTCATGCCTATGATTGTAGCACTCAGGATTGCTGAGGCCGGTGGATTCCCTGAGCTCATGGGTTCAAGACCAGCCTGAGCCAGAGCAAGACCTCATCTCTAAAATTAGCTGGGCGTTGTGGCAGACCTCAGCTACTCAGGAGGCGAAGGCAAGAGAATCACTTAAGCCCCCGAGTATGAGGTTACTGTGAGCTGTGACGCCATAGCACTCTACCAAGGGCAACAAAGTGAGACTTGGTGTCAAAAAAAAAAGTGCACTTTTTTTCATAGTAATGAGATTTTGATCTTCTTTTGCAGTGATGGCCAAAATCCCAATTGCAGGACAATCTTCAGAAAAGCTAGAATGTACAATGTCCAGGTTTTTTAGATATCATCGATGTCTTCAACATCATCTCCAATGTCATCAAACTGAATTTCATCATCATCTCCAGGACCAAATGTATCAGTTTCATTGATTTTAGCGTGTTCTGGAAGCTCCCCCATATGTTTTCAGACTTCTAGCTTCATCTGCATTGTAGTTTAAAATCCCATCAGCTTTGTTATCCTGGTAGTCTCTGAGACTAACCATTATGATGTCTGAAGTACTTATCCAAACCTTTTTCCTCAATTTCCCTCTGATGTGACATAACCTATTCACTCCATCAAAACACATTGCCTCTAGTCTTCCATTTCATAAGAGTTTGATTACCTGAGCATACTCTCGTCCCTCTTCTTTGAACACCAGCTCTCTTTTCTCAGACTCATTCTCATTCTTACCTCTGCATCTATTTTTACCTCCTTTGCCTTTATTTTTGGTGGAGACAGTGGCCTCACGGTGTCTGTGACTTCTTTTTGGGGGGAGGCAGTGGTGGCAGTGACTGCTTCGAGGGACGACAACAAAAGGACCATGCAGGACAAAGCCAAAGTTGGAGGTCGGGTAGTGCGCGTGTGCAGGAGAGTCTGGCCACCAAGCTCTTCTGAGATCAGCCTCAAAAATGTGCATTTTTATTTGAGACAGAGCATCTCTCTTTTGCCCAGGCTGGAGTGCACTGTGGCATCATCATAGCTCACTGTACCCTCAAACTCCTGGGCTCAAGCAATCTTCCTGACTCAGCTTCCCAAGTAGCTGGAGCAACAGGCATGTGCTACCATGTCCAGCTGATTTCTCACTCTTGCTCAGGCTGGTCTCAAACTCCTGACCTCAGCCAATCGTCCTGCCTTGGACTTTCTAAGTGCTAGGATTTCAGGTCTAAGCCACTGTGCCCAGGCTTAAGTGTGCATTTTAAACTTCTGTTTGGCATAGACATGACTGGGCATACAGATTTTTCTTCTTCACTGATATCTGAGGGCCCTTGATGACTCTTGGGTATCCATGTTCATCGGACAAAAGGGAACATTTTCAATATTACAGATCATAATTTCATGGTGTGAACTGTTCTAAGTATGTAAAAAGCTTGGATGGAGAGAATGGAGAGAAGATCCTGGTATACAGGGGAGAAGGATTTTAAAGAGCCCCTTGGGCTCGGCGCCCGTAGTTCAGTTGTTTATTAGGGCGCTGGCCACATGCACCAGGGCTGGTGGGTTCAAGCCCTGCCAGACCCTACTAAGCACCAATGACAACAAGAAAATAGCTGGGCGTTGTGGCAAGTGCCTGTAGTCCCAGCTACTTTGGAGGCTGAGGCAAAGAGAATCACTTAACCCAAGAGTTTGAGGTTGCTGTGAGCTGTGACGCCAGGGTACTCTACCCAAGGCAAAAGTTTGAGACTCTGTCTCAAAAAAATTAAAAAAAAAAAATGGCTCAGCACCTGTGGCTCAAACGGCTAAGGCACCAGCCACATACACCTGAGCTGGCGGGTTTGAACCCAACCTGGGCCTGCCAAACAACAATGACAACTGCAACCAAAAAATAGCCGGGTATTGTGGTGGGCACCTGTAAGTCCCAACTACTTGGGAGGCAGAGGAATCACTTGAGCCCAGGAGCTGGAGGTTGCTGTGAGCTATGATGCCATGACACTCTACCCAGGGCGACGGCTTGAGGCTCTGTCTCAAAATAATTAAATAAATAAAAATAAAACATAAGAAAAAAGGGAAAAAAAGGAGTTGAGACAATCTTGTTAGTAGTGAAAGAATAGTTTGCAAGCCCTAAATACATAACATTCTAGGAGTAAAAGTAGGACACAGCCCCTAACCTGGGAGACTCTTACCTGAGAATCAGCCATTTCTTCCTCTTCTCCAGGATTCCTTCTCAGGTGGGATTATCCAGACAAATCACAGCTGAATCTTGAGAACATGCATTTCAAGGCATCAGCATGACCCTTGCATCTGCCACCACCACACCCATAGGCAGAAGGACCTTGGAAGAGGCTACACTCATTTGTGCTTTGTCACAGTAGAGATTGTGGAACGAGCTCCTACACAAAAATGAAAATGT